CGAAATCAGAGGGCAGCACACGGTGCGATCGCGCGACCCTGCCCGTGAGCAATCTCCCAACTCATCTCTGCTATATTATTTTCTATGGGAGCCTTTCTCGGGACTGCCCGGGACGGCCGGGACGACCGCCATATCTTACCGTTTCCTAGCGTGGTGCGTTGCCGGTGTATTATAGGCGAATCTGAATTTCCTCCGGAAAAAGAGTTTCATTCGGATGCGCTGATGCGTGTGTTCCGGGGATAAAGAGATTGAGATGTCGCCACAACAATTGGTCTTGTTCACACTTTTACATTTGACAATCATTCACGTATTTACAATTCACATTAACAAAATTTTACTTACGATTTTGTCACCTAAAAGCGATATAAAAATCCCCTTAGTTACTTTTATATTATACATTTTGGAATGAGATTTTATTTAAGATCAGTTGTGGTTCGTTGTAACGTCCATTATTGTAAGAAATATGGCAAATATTCTGGAATGTTTACTGTACCTTTTTCAAAGTATTCTACATGAATATTCTCGCATGGATATTGTACTGGAGATGGCTGGAATAATGGTGAAATGTGCGAGATGTATTAGGTATTGAAAAAGTACTACTGATGTATATTTTAATCTTTTAAAGAAACATTTAACATACAGTATCACCCAATCATGTATTCACTGAAACTATAAAATATTAAATAAAAACAAAGCATAGCGTGATAACATTTTATTCCATATATCACACCTCGCTGTCGCATGAACTCCCGCTCTTTGCTATCGATATACATAACTACTGCACTGTGCTAAATGTTTAATTACAAGATTTATACAATTGTCGGAAAATTCGTTCGTTCGAATTTATTATGAAACATTCAGGTTCCTCGTAAATTCGGAACTTTCGTGCAATTTTCTTCTCCACGTCGTTCTTTTCTCGCCGATATGTTGAATTTTCGTACGTTGGGACGAAATACTCGTTTCACTTGGAAAACAGCAAGTTAATTAAAAAATACCGCGGTTGAGTTATCAGACTAAACAATTAATGTCTTTAAAAAGGTCTCAGGAAATTTATTATCAGTTCATCTTAAAACGTTCACCCTTACAGACGTTCTATATTCTGCTGAAATATAAAAAAATACTATTTTCGCAAAGTAACGACTGCTAAAGGTTCGAATTAAATATCCTTCTTGTAAAAAACGAATGTCTTCATAATCGAATTATTTCCGATGTCTATAGGCGCGCACACACCTGAACGCGACACGTACAGTGGCGGACATGAATGCCTCCCCTGCAAATACGGCATCGCCTGTGCAGGATGGGAGGGCATTGATGTCACTCACAAGGAAACATTCCCAAGTGACCGTCTCCGATCTTATTGATTTTCATATATGTTGAAGAACACAAAAATCTAAGAGACACGTGTATTTTTTATATCTGCAATCGTCCACATTTAAGGGGTGAAACATCCCCCTAAAGTTTGTCGAAAATTCGATTTTTATAATAATTTTCGTAGAAGCAGTTGAGGGATTTCGACGAAACTTGGTATAAACGTATTCTGTATAAGGACGGTGAAAACACAATATTTTTCAGCAATGCTACACCCCCCCAAGAGGGTGAACTACCCTTCAGGCGACATTTTTTTGTAATATCTATTAAACAAGCACTTCTACTTAAGTTCCACTTACGCGATGTGATTGCTCACAAAAAAATGAAGAAATACCCCTTAAATGTGGACCATTGCAGATATAAAAAAAACACGTGTCTCTTAGATTTTTGTGTTCTTCAACGTATATGAAAATCAATAAGATTGGGGGCGGACACTTGGGAATGTTTCCTTGTCAGTGTACGAGGTAAGGCGAGGCAGAACGAGCATACAAATGTGGATGAGCAATCGAGGCGCGGCAAATTGCCTCGGATTGGTTCGACTTATGATCCGGCAGTACAAATGTCATCTACAAAAATGCCTCGATTGTTGCCTCAAATAATCTAATTCGCAACCAAAAATCCAGGTACACATCAGAACACGAACCCGTACGAGGCATTCGTTTTGCCTCCCCTTGCCTCGTACGCGTTCACGTTCAGATGTGTACGCGCCTTACAAATTTAGGAAATGTTATCAACAGAGGAACGGTACGAACGTTTTATTACAATACAATCACAGCGTTTTATACATAAACGATTGAAGATGCGATTGATTCTGTGTAAGATTGATTTCGACCGGGCTCTATTGTTGAACGGAGTTCAGATAATTGTTACCTAGAAATCCATTCCTTGGAAGCAATATCAGAAGCGTATTAAATATGTATATGTATACCTACATGAATATGTACATAACATCATATAACTATGCGTATTTAAGTAACAAAGAGAAAGAATGCATTAATTTGGTTCTGTGACATTTTATGCACAATGTTATTGGCTATTAAATGAACCTTTTCCCACGAAGGAATTCTTTTCCCTCCGTACGAAGGGGTAAGAGTGTACTTGTACAATTGCCACCGAAAGCTTCAGTTTCGCTTAATCGATGTAAGAGAAGAAAATACTGCATGGGCGGCTAGTACTTTTGTCAAACCAACAATAAACAACATAAATTAATGCAAACTCTTCTCACATCATGCGTTGGTTCGACGACACAGAAGATAACCTTTTGATGACAACGGTACGCTATTAGATGTAATTGGGAACAATAAAAGTTGAAACGTTCCCACCGGTTGACCGGAGCGTAGATAATGATTGATTCATTGGCCTCGTAAATGTTGACAAAGTCGATGAAGAATTTGCTTCTATTTGAGTATAATGGTGCGTCTGCGGGAGTGTATGCCAGATTTCTTAATCCTGAAGTACATAAGATCTATTGGTATCGAAAAAAATCCGGAAGTGAAACCGTAATTCCGTTGTATCAAACCTATGGCTATATTATAATCGATCAGATCCTTTTACATCAAACCAAACTGAACCTGATCAGATCCGACTGAAACATGTTACTTCTTAGGCTGTGGCTATACTACAGGTGATCAGACCAGACCAGACCAGACCAGGTCAATTACAACAGAAACAAACGTATTACTTCTTATGACCATGGCTACATTAGGTCCATTAGATCAGATTACATTCGGGTGCAGTATAGCCACACCCATAAAAAGTAATACGTTTGTTCTGTCTGAAGTGATCTGGTCTGGTCTGGCATGATCTGCTCGGCTATAGCGTAGACTTTATATCTAGATGCGGCTACACTTTGTCTATCAGATTAAATCGGAAGCGAGATTCTGTACATCGCCGTCAATAGTATCGTTAGCCCATTGAAATAATAAAAATGATAAAAATACTACCGATAGCACATTTACAATCCTGTCCCAGATATGGTCAAAATGTAGCCACGTTTATAAGAAGTGTTTTTTTTTTTCCGGTAGAATCTAGGTTCGGTAGAATCGGGTTTAAGCTGAACAGATCTGATCGGCTGCGGTATAGCCATAGCCTTAGGTGTGCACTCATATTTAAAACTGTGTACTTGATTCCACCGACATTTGTTCGAGCCTGTTCGGTTGATGAGCCTTTCAATCTTTAATGACGTACATTTTGTCGTAGATTTATGAAATAGTAGTACATTATGTACTAGGAAGGTAAAATGAGTCCTTTTGCAATCAGCGTGAGCGAGCCGAAGACGAGCACTACGAGCACGTGATGCGCATGCGTGAATACAATTTCACGATGCCGGTTCAAAATCGAGTTCTAGCATCGTAGACACGAGCTCTAGAGGACTCGTGGTCCATGACATCGTATGAACTATGAACTGAAGAGTATGAACATCTCCCCGCTCATTTCTGCATAAAGTAATACAATACACAGCCTACACTCCGCAGACGTGGCACCGTGAGCTAAATAAAATAGAAAAAAAAAAAACAAAAAATGACAAATAATGCCACCAAAACGTATCTACAGCTCAACTTAAAGGATTGAGATTGACGATTGCACAGAGCTCTTCCGGCGAACGAAAGAACGTAGACGAGGCGCGAACGTGTCGGCACGCCAGACGCCTAATAAAAAGCCTAATCCTCCCAGACTCGGGAAGTGCCTCTCACAACGTGTGTAATTATAATACAAAATCGTGAGCCCCGCGTTGGCACTCTTCCGACTGGCCAAAGCCACCGTGTCGGCGACAAGTCCTGGCCAGAATCCGCGGGTAGCCTACGACAGTCGTGTGCGGCATTTCCTTGGAGGAGCGCCTCTGCCGTTTGACGGCGGCCGAAGGCGCCGATTCGTTTATATTACAAGGGGCGCTCGACTCGGGGTCGACGGGAACGAGGGCGACGCTCGAAGAGCGCGGGAAGCCCCGCACGCAGAAGACGAGGAGGCGTAGGAGAGGCTGATATGCACGGGTGGGGGGAGGGGGACTTTGGGTTCGTTTCCAGCAAGTTAAGTACGCGCCGCCACGCGCCGCTTCTTCCCCAGGCCGTACTACTAGGAGGCCGAGCTGTACCAGCCATTGGTGGCGGATTTGTTGGCGGTGGGGTGGTATAGGTGGAACCCGGGTCCAGCGGCCGGGTGGTGATAGAACTGGGCCTGCTCGCCGAGGCTGCTCGCGGCGTAGGCCGCGGCGGCGTCGAGGGCGCTGGGGTGGACCGCCGCCGAGTAGACCTGTGGCTTCAGAGGCAGGGGCTGGGCCGGCTCGTACTGATGGCGCAGCACCGGCTCGCCGTAAACGGAGCTCTCGTAGCTGCTGACCACGCTGGCCGAGTGCAACTGCTGCTGGTGCTGCTGCTTGTCGCGCGGCGACACGGACGAAGGCGGCGTCATGGCCGAGTGGTAGTCGACCGCGTAGCCGCCCGCAGCCGAGTAGGAGGAGACCAGGCTGGTGAAGGCGTCGGGCCCACTGCTGGCCGCGGGCCCGCCGCCTCCACCGGCGGCACCTTTCTGGTTATGTCCCGAAAGCACAAACTGATGCTCGCCGTAGGTCGAGGAACCCTCCGAGCCCGGAGGCGTCGGCAGGGGGCCGCTTTGCGCCCCCGTGTCTCCCCCGTAGTAGGTCCCGGTCCCCCCGGAAGTCCGTGCACCACTGGTTGCGATCCCGTGCACGTTAGCCCTGATGACGCTCTCGCGGTTCGCGTAGAGCTGCCGCAACAGCGCCGACGCCGGCAGAGGTGCACTCGCCGCCGACGACTGCTGCGGGTTCAAATGACCCAGGTGGTGGTGGGCGCCTATCCACTGGATAGTGCTCCGTTGTTGTTGCTGCTTCAGCAACGCGTCCGTGCTGAAGTCGGTCGGTTGATGCAGCACGGGGGAGTCGGGCTTGTTCATCGCGGCGCCCGGTAGGTGCTTCGACATCGCCTGCTCCAGGTCCTTCACGGAGGCCCCGGATACCTTGGACCCATCCGCGTTTCCTCCGTCGGCTTGATGCACCTTCGGGCTGGCCCTTAATACCTGTTCCGCCGGGGGTACGGAGTGGCTCGAAGACGCGGGACTCAGGGCGTGGCTTTTGCCCGAGGGAGCCTTCCCCGTTGTCTCTTCTTCGTCTTCCTCCTCCCCGGAACTGCTCTCATCTTCGGCCGCGAGCTTTCTCTTGTGACCCCGCAACTTTAGCGATAAAGAGTTGCCCGTTATCGCCGCGGATTGGGATTCCTGCTGCAGTTGCACTGCATTGTCGTGATGTCTACCCCCGCGAGGCTCGCCTTCCGATCCTGAGGTATCTTCTCTTTCCTCCGGTGGGGACCGATGAGGATGCTCTGGGTGCTGATTCGTCGGGCCGGAACTGCCTTGACCTTCTAAAATGTACAGAAACGTATCCAATTAAGAAGGTTTTCACCGAGAGAACCATTGATCATATTTTCCACTTGTAAACAAAGATAAATGAACTATGTATTATTATTAACCCTTTTAGTGCCGGAGGCCGATATATCGGCCCTCTGCGCCATCTGTGATCTCCAGGTCAACTAAATTTTCACTCCGAGACCTCGTATTACCATCGTTTTAGCATAGAAGCGCATACAACACTTTTTTTGCCTTTATTCCGTTCAAATGCGAGTTTATCGATTACCAGAGTGTTCTAAATGATCGTGAAATTGTCCGGACTCTTTCGTTTCTCATATCAGAGCCTTCGAAAATTGTATATTGATCGAAATATGAGAGCTCGACGCCATTTTGTTTCTGGTCTGGGCTGTGTTAAACATTTTTTTCCAATAATCCAAATTTTGATTGTGTCAGGACAATTCTTAGATGATCAGGTGTGTCAGATGTGTCAAAGTTTCGGACAGTTTGGTCTAATACCCTTGAAAAAAAGTGTTATATTCGAATCGACTGATTTGAAGGGGGTTTCACTTCACCATCAATTCATTTAAAGAGGAAGCATAAATAATTAGTTGTTCACGACGTTCCTCTAATAAAAATAAAAGTACGACCTACTTTTAATCTATTTGTATGGTGCACGTAGGTGCGGTCTAGTAACAATCCTTACCTCCTCTGTCAGCGTCCGGCGAGCCATTTTCAGGATCGTTGCCAGCGGTCTCTTCCCGCTTTACACCTGTCACCCCGTCCTCGAGTTGGCAGCAATCCATGATGAGGTTCTCGTATTCTCGGCCGCTATAAATAAACGAGTAGTGTAATAACTCCGTAAAGTCTGCGTTCGGGCGGAGAAAACTCCGTAACTACATTCTAACCGTTTGTCCAGATTAAATCCGCTGTCAAGCATTTCAAACGTGATAATCGGAAAGAACCTTGAGTCGAATATCCATAAAACTTATCCAGATATCCTCTGATACATGGCGTGTAAATTACATTTCTCATTGTCAGTCAAATATAGTACGGGTTCTTGACAGATACGTCTTATAAGTTGGTATTGCCATATAAGATAGTTAAAAATGTTGCGACCAACTTTGACGCACCTGATCACATAGTTGACGCAAATTATGTTCTGCTCTTCCGCATTCTTTGAAGTGCACACTACGGTGGCACAGGTCTGCATCCACGTGTACCCTCCGCTTTTGTTCATAAGCCGATAATAGTGCGTCAGTACTTGGCCCTTGTTAATTACTGCAACAGATTCGCAAAGATCAAATTAAATACTGCATGAAAATTAATTTGGAGAATTAGATTTCCACTCGTAAAAAGGGAACGCTAATAGAAGTAAACCTTGAGGATCTTCGATGACCGATATTTAAAAAGATGCAACTGTAAAGAGGAGCTGCGACACAATTTACGTTATTTAATGCACGCAATCTACATGTCTGGCAGTGAAATATCTGTCTAGCCTAGCGAATCAATTGCACCTGTTAAATGAATTCAGTTAAGCATTAATGTTTCTTGTATGGAACAAAAAAATCCGGGTGAGCGTTTCAGAGGGTGCAATTTCCGAAACCGGAAGACTCGAAGGAGTCATCGAGTACTCTTCAGCTTTTCCATTCTATTAGATCCTGGAAACGGTCTCGCGACCGCCAGACGAGTTTCCGAGGGACACCTAGGCAGAAAGAGGGTGGAGAATCCACACCCTTTCCGTTCTCTCCCCTGCTTCTGGCCGCCGCTCCGTGAAGGATGGAAGGAGTAAAGTACGGTGATGCGGAGTGGGAATGGGAGAGAAGGTAATAACTCGCTGGAGATGCCGCATCCGGCATTCCGTGTTCCTCTCTGCATACCAATTACCTAATCCTGGGGCTGTAAGCGTACCGTCACGCCGAATGCAAAGGCGCAGCACGTGACTAGTCAGATGCGGGAAACGACTCTCTCCCTCTCTCTCTTCTTTCTTTTTCTTCTTATATATATATCACCGTTCCTCGTCTCCTTCCTTGGATCTTAACGAGAAAACATTTTGCAGCGTACCGTATTTTCAAATCTCGCCCCAGGGAGAAGAAACCTCGTCGGGTACATCGGTTTAACGAAGCGTTAAGGTGAAGTGAAACCCCCTCCAAATCAGTCGATTCGAATACAACACTTTTTTTTAAGGGTATTAGACCAAACTGTCCGAAACTTTGACACATCTGACACACCTGATCATCTAAGAATTGTCCTGACACAATCAAAATTTGGATTATTGGAAAAAAAATGTTTAACACAGCCCAGACCAGAAACAAAATGGCGTCGAGCTCTCATATTTCGATCAATATACAATTTTCGAAGGCTCTCATATGAGAAACGAAAGGGTCAGGACAATTTCACGATCATTTAGAACACTCTGGTAATCGATAAACTCGCATTTGAACGGGATAAAGGCAAAAAAAGTGTTGTATGCGCTTCTATGCCAAAACGATGATAATGCGAGGTCTCGGAGTGAAAAATTAATCGACCTGGAAATCACAGATGGCGCAGGGGGTCCCTCTGCAGTCAATTAGGGCCCCAGAAAGCATGAAACCAGGGGATTTCTGAGGTTTCACTTCGATTTCTTTATAATTAATATACGAAAATGACAGGTGGAGTATGCCATTTGGTACAATACCCAATATAATTCGATACAGCTGTCAATATAAAAAAGAACTTCGGCAACGTAGGCATTTAGAAAAATCTTCTTTATCGATGTCGATGAAGTTCCTCGACGTGTTTCACTTCACCTTAAGCTGCAATCGAAAGGCACTCGCTGCGGACTTGTCATCGTGTAAATCATTGAGATTTGGACAGACTTCCGGCAATTAAAAACGGCAATTAAAGTTTAAATTATTTTGGACGCTGTTTTGAACTTCGGTTTGCTGACATTTCGAGGTTGCCGTACTGCGGGTCCTGTCCACGGCGCGTAACATTATGGGCTTTACATTTTTATTGTGCTGTTTAAGAGAAGATTTTAAACTTACGGTCGACGTGGGACTTTCGAAGGCGATGTGCATCTTCACCATGGCACAGCGCGTAAAGATTTTTCCCTGTTAACTCCTCTGCTGTGTAGTCCAGTAGTTCGGACACCCTGACAAATAAGAAATTTTATCATAACCATTACGATTGGTGATAGTTCAAGTAAATTGCGTATTTATAATTTACGAATTGAGAATATCTTAGGAATGTTTGTTGCCCTACAAAAACGTACGATTGAGTTGTGATATTTTGTGCTCGTTGGGCCATAATTTGAATAAGTGACTAGATGTGTGGTTACAAATTTTGTCATTACTTGTAGAATGGTCGATATGCAACATAAATATTCGACGTTTTTACTTACTTTGGCTCGCAGTAGGATATCCGGAAGTCAAAGCTGATGCGAGTGACGAACATGTCTGTTTCTAAACGGATTTCGTGGACGCTGGGCGGTGGAAGAGCTATCGCCAGGCCAACCATGCCCATCAAAGGGGGTGCAGACTTCCTCGTATGGTTAAACATGTACTGTGGCCTCAGTCGGCAAAGTAGTAGCACAACCTGTATTTGTTAAGAATACATTAACACAATTAATACTATAATAACCTAACAGTCTTAAGGAACTAATGAAAAAAAAAGGGAGTATCCTTAATTTACTTTTTACTCCTTTAGTTGCAATGAGTTTTTACAATGGTTCAACTGACATCCCCGTATATAAATTAGAGAAATATTATTTTAGAACACGCAGGGAAGAGTTGCCGATATCATACCGCCGCCTAAATATGAAACTTTTCGCCAAACTGGGTGTACCGAATCGTTTAAAGCTTCACAACGTAAATACGAAGGCTATAAGGAAGGTCCCAACACCCCTGAAATTTTAATTTTTGTTTATTTGTCTATCGATATTGCAAACATTACAAAAAATATTAAATTTCGTGGGTGTCAGGACCTCCCTTGTAGCCTTCATATTCACATTATAAAGTTTGAAGCGATTTGGTATATCCAGTTCAGAGAAAAATTTCATGAATAATTGATCTCGGGTGCCACTTTTACATCTCCTTAAGGTGAAGTGAAATCCCCTTCACATCAGTCGATTCGAATACAACACTTTTTTTTAAGGTTATTAGACCAAACTGTCCGAAACTTTGACACATCACTCCTGATCGTCTAAGAATTGTCCTGACACATTCAAAATTTGGATTTTTTGAAAAAATTGTTTAACTCAGCCCAGACCAGAACCAAAATGGCGTCGAACTCTCATATTTCGATCAATATTGATTGATATTGATACAAATGAATAAGAAATGATATTTTGTTGTTTAGGACTGATAACAATAATACTGTAAAAAGCGGTATGATATAGGCAACTCTTCCCTGTACACGTGTGATTATATATTGCATAAACCAGGATTTAATTAATTTTTGAGTAGGGTATTTTTCTTCATTTGCGTATGCCAGAGGTTGCCAAAGAGGGGCCAAGTAACTTCGTAAACTATTGAAGGAAATTTCCGTGACTGAATTACCATCTATTTGAACTTACTCGGTAGCCGGAAGACTTGAAATGGCAACCCCTCTTCGTTAATGTCGACTTCATGCGCACGCAAAACGCTCGGTCGTATCCCTTGTACAGAGCACTTGAAGTCAGAGACATTACCGATGAGACTAAAAAAAGGATAATGATTGAATTAAACATATGAGCTGCTTCAAAACTGTGAGCATACTTAAATATAACCTGTTGAACTTGCACACATATTTGGTAATACTTTCGCGTCCTTACGTTTTACCAACCCATCTGCAATTCCGCTTACATACAATTCATGTGGAAACAATTAAGTAATGATTCTTTAAACAGGACATAATTAGAATAATAATCCATGCCGATTTAGAAGCGAGTAACTAATTCCGTCTCGTAAACTTGGCTATTAAACTTCATTTCAAGTTTCCAAGGAACAAATATAAGTTCCTTAGACTGACAGGTGTTTTTAGAGCAAACATCGAGTCACAGATGGCGACGTTGGTCCTAAACAGTCGTTAGAATAATGAATTCGCGGGATTTCAACAGTTTTACATCGATCGCTTCATCATTACTTTACCGAAATGACATATGAAACGCTTCAGTTCGCATAATTATCAACGCCGACTGTAAATGACTTCGACATAAATATAAATGTCGGTAAGGTGACGCGCCAGTGTATGTTACAGCTTGAGTATTCAAAATGGCGTTACCACCAAAACAGGGGTGCAGATGAATTTTAATTGATCGACCTCGATTAAATTTCTCATTTCCTTCATAACATCTTAACGAATTGATTAGCCTCCAAGCAGGGAGACACCCATGCACAGTATTTCGTAACAAAGTTCATTACTCATAAAGTGGATTACGTTCTTAAACATTCTCCGAAAACGGGGTATGAGCCCGAACGGAGTACCCGCCGACATTTCTTTCCCGCTTTCCCCATACCCACCAGCTAAGCATCCACTTCCAAGCCAGGGTCACCGTCCACGTCGCCACGTTGCCGGGCGGCCGGCAACCGGAGGGAAAAGAATAGGTCAAGAACGAAGAGGGAGGAGCGTTCGCGGAAAGTGGCCGCGTGGACTCGGCCGGCGGGCGGGAGTTAGCGGCGGTGGCCGCTAGCGGTCGCGTCGAGCGGGCCGCCACCGCGCCTGGGCCGAATGCGGAACGCGCCGAGCGCCAGCGGCGGGTGCGGGTACGTGCCGCTTGGGCGCTGCCGTCGCGGAATAACAATCGGGAAGTCGCGGGCGCGCTGCATACCGTATGCGCCGCACGGCGCCTCCGCGGCAATTCCGGCGGCCCGGCCGTGAACTAACCGGTAGTAAGACGAGCTACCACCCTCTTTCGAGGAGTCGCGCTCCCCGTCACGGCCGCCCTCGCCTGGCGATGGCCCGCGGTGGTGGCCACGTGGGCCGCCCGACGCTCACGTCCGTCGACCACCTCACGTCCACCGTCTCGCGTGATCATACGCCACCTACCACCGCCTTCTTCCTTCCGCTTTCGGACTCGATCCCGACCGAGTGGAACACCCACGCGCTCCACTTCGAGCCTGGTCACGGTTTCCAGGTTACGCGTTCATTCAAGCCCGGCCCGGTGCCGCCGATTGCGTGCCCCCGGAGGGCGGCCTCGCGATATCAAGAGTCCGGGCTCCCTTGATCACCGGAACCTCTTACGCGGCCACGAGCTAGGGATTTACGTGAACCGACGCGCATACCCCTCGCCGAAGCGAACATGACGGACGTTGAGATTTCCCAGATAATGAACATATCAGCGCGATGCGGTGCTCGCGGCGGCTTGGCGAGAATTAACCTCTTCACCTACAATATCGCGTGAGAGACGTGGTATATCAATCGGGCCGAACGTGAACAAAACGTGTGAGAGACGTGGTATATCAATCGGGCTAAACGTATGAGACTTTGAACGTTCAGTCAAATCGTGAAATGGCCCGATGTATGACCGACATTTTTCTTGTCTATGGCACGCGCTATTGGAATTTAAATCCTAAAGCAAGGGGTTAAGGCGGGTTGAAACTGAATTGTTAACGGGTGAAGTTACCGTCTTCTTGGTTGTTCACTTTTGCGAAGCTATTGCAGGCAGTAGTTCAAATCTCGATATAGGATAACATGGTTGGTAAACACGATGGCGGTGTAGACTCTCGTGCATGTCTGAATTGTCCAAGTTTTATACGTATACCAATTAAATTACTATTTCCGTAGTCCATATGTGAGATATTCACGTGTAAGAGTGCTTTTGTGTACTCACATTGAGGTATAATGAAACGCTTACTTTATTGGTATATTTCCACAGTAAACGTTTTCACATGACGGGGAGACCAACTAAAACGGTTACTTAGGGTCTTAAGGGGATGTGAAAGTGACGAGAAGAGGAATTTATGAAACTTTTCTACGAATAGAATCTACCGAATGGTTTCAAACTTGAAAATGTGATTATAGAAGCCATAAAGATGGTCCTGACACCCATACAATTTTAATTCGTTAAAAATTTGTTTATAGATGTTTTCGAAATTTATTATTATAAAAAATGAAATTTCATGAGTTTCAGCACCTACCTTAGGCCTTCCATATTCACGTTGTAAAGTTTGAAACGATTCGATACACCCAGTTCGGAGTAAAGTTTCATGAACGATTGAGCTTTCGGATACCACTTTCATATTCCTTTTAGATCTGAAATTATAGTTTAGGGCAAATTTGCGATTTTTCTTTCCTCTCCTTCATGTATGGTATTTTAACCATTGTATGTTTCTAAGAACTCGCTAACTCTCTTTAGTAACAATAAATTGCAGTACTGCAGTTTTCGATTTTTACTCAAGTGTCAATTATAGCTCGCGTTTACAGTGAATGAAATTATTAATTTATGATAATTGCGATGTTCTCATTTAACGGTATAAGATATTTAAGAAGTTAACTATTCACAACGAGAAGAGTAAAATCTGTATTCAATCGGATCTCTATAACTCGCAATAATTTCCGGTCGACGATGGTTACGAATTTGGAGCAATAGCTCACGAATTGTAGGCAATTTTAGTTGCTTGCAACCGCCTCCGGAAGTTGTATGCAAATTCGATGTCCAACTATGGGCAGCCTGAATGCGCGAGGACGGTTGCGATCTGTTAATGTTCACGGTGACCATCGAATTGTCATACATACATGCTAGTTTCTCCCGATTGTGCGACCATCATGAATAATAACGAGGTTTCAGTGGCTACGAGATAACCCTTAACATAATAAACCAGAATATAGGATAAATTATTATTAAAAAAGAAAATACACAATGAAATCTAAATATGCCATTAAGCTTTCCATCATTTGTTGTAGAACATGCGATTTAAAAATAATAATTAAAGCCGAAAGTTAACCCGTCACGGCGGATTCGGTCGTGGAGCTGTATTACTTATACGGATAGCTCAGGCACCGTGTGCTAATACTTTATACGAATACATTTAATGCATGGTAATGAACGGGGCCATTATAGTTGCACGTTGTAAAAAAACCTTGGTCAGACGGAAGCCATTAAGGTGAAGTGAAACACCTTTCAAATCAGTCGATTTGAATACAACACTTTTTTGTAAGGGTGTTAGACCAAATTGTTCGAAACTTTGACACACCACTCCTGATCATCTAAGAATTGTCCTGACACATTCAAAATTTGGATTTTTCAAAAAAATGTTATAACTCAGCCCAGACCAGAACCAAAATGGCATCGAGCTCTTATATTTCGATCAATATACACTTATCGAAGGGTCTGATATAAGAATCGAAAGGGTCAGGACAATTTAGAACTCTTTGGTAATCAATAAACTCGCATTTGAACGGGATAAAGGCAAATAAAAGTGTTGTATGCGCTTGTATGCTAAAACGATGGTAGTACGAGGTCTCGGAGTGAAAATTTAATTGACCTGGAAATCACAGATGGCGCAGGGGGTCCCTCTGCAGTCAATTAGGGCGCCAGAAAGCATGAATCCAGAGGATTTCTGGAGTTTTACTTCGATTTCTTTATAATTATTGTATGAAAGCGACCGGTGGAGTATGCCATTTGGTACAATATCCAATATAACTCGATATAGCTGTCAATATAAAATCGAACGTCGACACGTAGGCATTTAGAAAAATCTTCTTTATCGACGTCGACCAAGTTCCTCGACGTGTTTCACTTCACCTTAAAGTGACGCTTCGAAACTAGCGTTAATAATAAACCTCGTTCATAAAGGGGAAAAGCGTTTTAGCGGGACAACGTTGTTGTATGAAAAATCGATATTTAATCATTAACATTAACGGGACATTACCGTCAGGATTTGCCGTGGAAGACGATCCGTGCTCTTCCGACGCAGCGGAACTAGGCGATGCGAGGCCGGAACTCGAAGATTGAGGACCGGAAGAACTGGTGGCTGAAGATAGTCCGAGGCCCAACTGTTCGGCAACCTCGGCGTGGTCTTGGTGGTGAACGTAGTCGAACACACTCGATCCAGTCATTTCTACCTGAAATGATTCAACATTGAACGGGTGCATCCTTCGGTTCAAACGTGCCATTCCTTCTTCCCCGTTCGAAAAAACCCCGGAATTTAATTTAAGGGATTTTTATTTAAGTACTAAGAGATTACACCGATTTTAAACAATACGGAAAGGTAATTCTTTTTCTAAGGCGATTAACTTGTAACTTACTAGACTGACTAGCGACTTACTTACTTAAGTACTAAGAGATTGCAACCATTCTAAACAATACAGAAAGTTAATTCTTTTTCTAAGGCGATTAACTTGTAACCATCAGTCAAAGATGAAACATTTCATTGAATGTAGATATTTCGTTCCGGGAATGGAGAACATATTTGAATTTTCTCTTTAAGTAAATTATTGTTTTACCTTATATGGTATACAATTTAATCCAGGGGGGGGGGGGCGGAGCTTATGGAAATTCCATCATTTTGCATAATCATTTGCGGTTGGGTTTTCGCATTCAAAAGGCGACTCGTCATTTAAGTACGGTCCACCTTTAATCTTAACACCCTGTACACCGTACTGCCCTCGTTTAATTAATTCAGCGATCACTTAGCAATTGTGATGCGTGCATTCTGATGTACGCCCTAATAATGCGCACACTCGGCAAAAGCAGGCATCGCCGAGGACGCTAGACTTCAAAACGGAAAACAATAGTTAGTCAATAACACGAGCGAAGGTTCTGAATACTCAATCGAAGCGGCTCAATCGGGAACAGAAAATGGTGCAAGAGAATCTCGAGCTATGTCATTTTGAGCGGCAGGATTAGCGACATTTTCATTGCATCCTTGCTGTCGTCCTTTCCCTCCCCCCCCCCAAAAAAAAAAAAACAATAGTCCATATATCCAGATAGTGTTTAACAGTAACAGAGAAATATACTTCATCCATATGTATCATCTAACCATTCTTAAAATTCTTCTTGAATAGAAGGCTCCGTTTATGAAAATTATATCTTTCGGGTCTGGGCTCAATTTCTCGTCCCGGAAATAGAATTACGGCCGAAAGATACAGTTCCTTGTAATTCCTGAACGTATTTTCGCAAATCTTAAGGTTCGGCAAATTCAAGCTGCTCTAGCAAGAGATATCGCAACTTACTTGCCCGTGGATCCGAGCTTTAACATTTTCCATCGCAACAACTACGCGGATACCATTCGGTATCCATATGAACGGATTTCGGAGTCACTAAATTCAATCCATACGCTAAGTACGAGCATATCCGTGGGAGCTGTAGGTATACCGACCGCCGACATTATTCTTGCATCGAGAAGTAACCGCGACACCTTAGTTACAAATGCCCGGTTAATTTCCAACAAAAGAACCTCCCTCCGTGATGTCTCATCATCCCTTCAAAAGTGAACTTTCGGCCGGCTCTCGAAACCTCGCGGAAAAGGTAGAGAGCGCATCCGTCTATCCGCCATGTTTGGGGCAGCGACGGCAGCAGTTTCCAGAATCTCCGAAACATCCTTCCAGAATCTCCATCATCATCCCTTCAAAAGTCAACTTTCGGCGGCTCTCGAAACCTCGCGGAAAAGGTAGAGAGCGCATCCGTCTATCCGCCATGTTTGTGGCAGCGACGGCAGCAGTTTCCAGAATCTCCGAAACATCCTTCCAGAATCTCCATCATCATCCCTTCAAAAGTCAATTTTCGGCCGGCTCTCGAAACCTCGCGGAAAAGGTGGAAAGCGCATCCAGTCTATCCGCCATGTTTGTGGCAGCGACGGCAGCAGTTTCCAGAATCTCCGAAACATCCTTCCAGAATCTCCATCATCATCCCTTCAAAAGTCAATTTTCGGCCGGCTCTCGAAACCTCGCGGAAAAGGTGGAAAGCGCATCCATCTATCCGTCATGTTTGTGGCAGCGACGGCAGCAGTTACCATAATCTCCGAAACACCCTTCCAGAATCTCCATCATCATCCCTTCAAAAGTGAACTTTCGGCGGCTCTCGAAACCTCGCGGAAAAGGTAGAGAGCGCATCCATCTATCCGCCATGTTTGTGGCAGCGACGGCAGCAGTTACCATAATCTCCGAAACACCCTTCCAGAATCTCCATGATCATCCCTTCAAAAGTCAACTTCCGGCCGGCCCTCGAAACCTGGCGGAAAAGGTAGAGAGCGCATCCATCTATCCGCCATGTTTGTGGCAGCGACGGCAGCAGTTTCCAGAATCTCCGAAACACCCTATTGATTGCCCCGAGGGTCTCGCGGAACCGAGTCGGTACCGGGCCCCCCGCCCCGCGTCCCGTCCCGCTCGGTGCCCGTCCACCTTCGGCGGGCTCGGCATTAGGAATGGCGAACACGCCGCCGTGCAGAGGCTACGTGAGCGGCATGCAACCACCCCCTCCCCTCCGCCCCCGCGCCCCGCGGCCGCCGGTCGTGCCGATGCCAGCAGCCAGTATGGCCGCCAACTCACCCAACCTTTTCCTCTTTTCCTCCCTTGACCTCCCCCCGTCGTCGCCGCCGCGACTCTCCTTGCCCTTCTGCGCCGCCTCCGCCCACACCTCCGGCTACCGATCCCCTCGCCTCCGCCCCAACGGCGGCGACCGGAGGGAGAGGGGGAGGGCTCGCATACGTGCCACCCCCTCGCGTGCACGCTGTCTTATGCGCCTCTCTCTCTCCCTGCACCCGGATCCGCACGGCTTCCGCGCCTCTGCGCATTCCCGCCCCTCCCGGCACTCCCACTCTCGCTCGGGGGTGGGACCGCGGATGACGTATAGAGAGACTCACCTGGGAGAGACCGAGGTAGATGGAGACCGTCTCGGAAATGTACAGGAATCGCCCGTCCGCCGCCACGGCCATCGCGAACCCGTCCAGAGACTGCAACAGGAAAGAGGTTGCTGGTCAGACCTCAGGGCTTGGCGGGGTCGCGGGTGACCAAGGGTATCTTTGGGAGATGGATGAAGTGGCGTGGGTCTTTTTGGCGGGTTGGGAGTCGAGGAGTAACGTATCGCCGAGATCGGGAGGCTTTGAAGATGGAACGGTAGAGTTATGTGGTACGGGGTGTACGTCGGCTGCGTTGTTTTATCAGTAAGACCGGAGACAATGCAGTTTAAAATGGTAGGAATAATACCTGGGATGTATTTTCTTGGAATTGAAATGATCTTATTGCCTGTGCGATGATTTTATGAAGTCGATTGCACGAAGTAACGCAAGAAAATGTAACGCCTGTGATCGATCCCATAAAAAGTTGCCGCAGAATTTGAAATCAGGGATCTTGGATCTTTTCTGATTTATCTAGGGAAGAGCTACTTGCGAAAATTATGATTCCGATCCTACGTGACCGAAACATCTCCTGTCGGTACAAATAACCTAAAACGCTTTTAATTTTGTGACTTAGGTACACAACGTGCAACGACAATCTAATGCGCGTGTTATACGGAATATGACGGTTTTTACGTGATACCGAGCAGCGGATGCGCCAGCAGATGATCATTTTTCATTGCAAAGTTTCACCGAAGAGATCTCTCGGCATTACATAAGAGAAAATCCCAGGATCGTACATCCCTAAAGTAGGACCGACTTCGATACGTGGCGTATCTCCTTGTACTACTTCGTGGTTTATAGTAGGGTCTCAAAATGGAACGAGATGCTTCGTTAGTTCAGACGTATGCACTAAATGAATGAACAAGAACGAGAGGTAAATGATTAGTTATATATTTGTTATAAAATGCGTTTTGATTGGTTATACGAAATAATAGGAACCAATTCCATAATGAATGGTAGAATGAATATTAGCTGCAATGGCGTGAAAGGCGAGATGACGGGCGCGTTTAGGCACACAGGGTACTCACCTGAAGAATGTGGGTACCTTGGTACTGCTCGAACATGTCCACGGCCAAGGATGCCGGGGACCTCACTCGGTTCGAACCTGCAATAAAATATACGCGTACGTCAGGGTCCATCGATTGAAATACACTTCCTAAGCATTAGACCATGTTCCGTAATGTATCATAGCCATCAATAAATGTATGCAAATCATAATGCATCGACCGCGTTTCATTATTTCAGACTCAATTACCGTTCATTATGACATTGCTAGATTAACAAGCCGCAAATGTACGATACTTTCGAAGCAAAAAGATCTTGAACATTAGATTCTATACCGCTCACGATATGGTTTCCCTTACGTTACATAATTGTATTGGAAACATTGTATGCAATTGTTTGATCTATGTCCAGAACGATCACACATAAAAGAAGAATCGGTGATTACGTCGTCTAACATGGGACATTGGTCTCGAGAACTCTAACCAGTTATAACTTCACAATTACTCTGCAAAGTATCTTATAAAGAGAGTACGTTCCGAATCAGTTCCAAAATATCCCACCAATCGCATAATTCTTTTCATTGTATATTTTCCCTTATATTGTAGATATATTTGCCCTGGGCATTGTACATCCAACTGTCCGATATTTCGCCCTACATCTAGGACACCCTGGACCAATAGAAATCGAAGACCACGTTTTCCACCGGCCATGGTCCTCCGAAATGTCCATCTTTCCTGTTTATCCTATTCCGACATGAATCACTCCGATCGGAAACAACCCCTTCGACCCTTTTCGGGGCATCTCGCCCCTTGCTTGGCAAACAAGACGGACTCCTTCGACCCCATAATAATAATCCCCCTACCTCGGATTCCCTTAATGAAAGACTTAGAAGATTCGATCGAACTCCGCGCTCCTCCTAATCTGGTAAGTCCGCCCGGATGAGGCTAAGGCCCCGGTCGCGGCCTTGGGGGTGCTGCGCCCCCGCAACGCCTTTCGGTCAACAAGTTTCGGATTCTGATATTTCTGCCATATACCGACCTAATCCCGCGTAATCTCATTCGAAACTCGGACCTTGACGAACCTTTGTTCCAGCACCAGTCCGAAGTGTGCCGAATGCGACACACCCCTGCACTGCTGGACCCATTGGAATCTATGCGACCTCTAAGCCCCATATGGATAGGATATTTGGGCACCGCTATTGATCCTTCAACCTTTCCCCCTTCGGGATGATAAACAAAATGTGACAGCACGCTAGTAGATTTTCAACCACCAGTTCACCATTTTCCTATAGGTCATCAGTAAAATCTACTTTTATGTCGCATATTGACTATAAATGTTTTAGCTTCGAAATAACGACTGAGTATATCTCCAAACAGTGCACCCTTATAGGTATCTAACTGGTCTGAAGAAGAATTTAAATTTCCTATCGAGGCTATATTTCTACAACTGTAGTAAAGATAAAGGCTCCTGGAATTTGACAAAGACCAATTCTTTAGGTCCTTCGTCAGGTTTGGGACCTGTACACGAAACAGAACGTGCTCTTCACGTTAAGGCGATATGAAATCATCAAAGTAGTTGACAAAATGAATAAAATGAAACGTCAAAATATTTATTAAACTTTTCTCCAAACTGGGCGCACCGAAACATTAGAAACTTTAACGCGTGATTATGGAGGCTCTAAGGAAAAACGCAATGCGCATAAAATTTCATTTTTCCGAAAAAAAAATGTGATTTTGGTACTAGTCTAGGCTAAAGAAAAAAAACATTTTTTGAGAAATGAAATTTCACGAGCGTTCTTCCTTAGAGCCTTCATAATGACGTACTAAAGTTTCAAATGATTCGGTGCACCCAGTTTGAAGAAAAATTTTATAAATATTTTGAGGTTTTACGTATATAAAATGACCCTTTCATATCAGCTTAAGATACTGTATTAATTTGGATTTGTAATTTCATAATGGTGAATTCATCTACTTTTAATCGGGAACTCACCCATGGCGGTTCATTTGACCCTTATATAACAATATAGGTTACTTAGTTGAACATCGAAGGTTTTTTTCTACATTTGTCTATCGATTTGGTTTTTAGAATTCGTTACGTTTTTTTTTTAAATTGTGATAAAAACAGTTAATAGAATTCTAATAAAATTAATGTATTGTGGAAAAGAAGTGTCTTGTAGCAGGATTCAATTTATAGACCTTAAAAAGGGTCTCGATTATTTAGCGATATTATTCAATGCCTTGTGAAATGAAGTGTAATTTTATTAATTAGACTGAAAAGAAATGTTTATTGTACGTAAGGTGTTTTTCTTATATATATATATGGGTTAAGCCATCAAATTTTCGATAAAACATAATTCGAAGCACCAACTGCTCCTGCTTCCCTTCGGGACCGATCGAGGGGGCTTTCCTTCTTACGAGGAAACAATGAGACGAAGGAAGGACCTGCGAAAGTTACTCGTGTCGTCCTGAAATTTGTATGTGTTTCGTCGGTCAGCTGCCCCCGTCCATAAATCCTCCCCTAACATCTCACACCCTCCCGCTGGCTATCACAATATTTTGATAAATATATAAAACATGTTTTATGGCGCGAGCTGCGACCCGTAACTCAGCGATATTTATTTTGGAAGGATAGAAAAATACCGGTGGTTAACTATTGGAGAGTCAGTCCATCCGAGGCCTTCGGTTATTACCCGAAAATCAATATAGATAACTATTCGGGACAACAAATTACAGGTATTTTATCTCGCAACCTCAAAGAAGATGTTTCATTTGATCGATTCATTTAGCTAGCACGTAACACGAACAAAATAGGACTTGCAAAAAACCCATAAATTCTCTATTCACCAACGCAATTGCTTAACTTAGAAAGTTGAAGTTATAAAATTAAATATCAGAAACAAAAAAAGCTCTTGTTCTATCCTTTACCATTGTCGTCGAAAAGAAATCTTTCCTTCGATCGTCTAAATAAATGGCTAAGGTAGCCAGAAATGGTAATTCGTCCAAGCACCCACTTCCTATTCGGGTCACTGACAAGACAAAGAAAGCAGTAAATATTATCAGGCAGGTTGCACCCTTAGCCTGATTTTGTCTATCGCCATCGTAGATAAGTAATTCTGCGCAAGTGATAACTTGGCCGTAAACCATAAGAAATGTCAGGTGCCGCATCTTCACCTTCGAAGGTTCGACGAGAGAGAACGAGAGAGGGCCGTATCATGGTCCATTATCACGCGGCCGTAACTCGGGACCCTCCTGGCGTGAACACTGTCCCGCCTCCGGCGGAGACAACAAATTCGGCCATTTTTCATTAAATCCTAGTCCCCGGAGTCCGTTATAGGGGCGCGGGAAGGCGCGATATTATATTATACTTCTCATATGTTGCAGCCGTCTCGCTTCCTCTTTTTCGGGAGGCCAGGAGAACGCGGGCAGATGGAGTCGAATCTTCCGACGGCCAGGGGTGACGTCGTGACGTCGCACCCTAGTAATCCCCGGGTGCGGGACTCCTGTGTGGCTGGCTTTCAACGATTTACGAGCCGGCACCCCACCTCGCAGCTTGCAACTTGTTTCGTCTTCCTTGCGAGGTCCGAGGTGTTCCGGAAGTGAGGACAAACCGGCCGGATACGTTCCGCTTCCGGCCGCGCCTTGGTCGCTCATTGCGAGGACCGAAGGAGGTAAGGAGAATAACCGATTCCAGACACTGAGAAAAAAAGCTCATTGAACCAAAGAAATATTTTGCTACTCCAAACAATTATTTCACTCGAATAAACTCAAATAAGTGGTCGTCATTCCAAAGAAACGTTGCATCCAATTCAGTCGAATTTATTTCAGCCAAATAATTATTCCTCAAAGTAAGGAAATATTTCTTTGGTTTAATGATTATTTCTTTTCAAGGTAATTGTCGTGAGTATCGTGTTTCGCGGTACCTAAATGAGAATAGGGTCTCCAACGACTTGATTCCTACATCGAACGCGCTTTAAGAATATTTAGAGGAAATTGTAATTGTAACGAATTGTAATCATAATCAACTAATGTTTTGGATTGTAACATATAAATCATATAAATCATTTCATTGCGATTGGATATAATCGCGTCTTTTTTTTTGTACTCGTTTCGTCTGAGGGTAACAGTGGAAGGAAAATAGGTATGTGTTACATAATGTCTAATTGCTTGGGCACATAGATAACAGTAATTGCAAGGTAATCCAGGGTGCTAATGCACGTTAAAATGGCGTCATTCGCGTAAATCCATCGGTTCCAACCTTCGTCACTACAATCAGAGTGAAACGTTATTGCACGTCCCAAAGGGATGGGGATCGAATTCCCGAATGTAATACTCGTATCTTCGATATGAAGATTAATCGTTCGGGATCATAAAGCTATATCGGTAGGGTAGGTGTAACACAATAGGTACACTCGTTTAGCAAGAGTCCTTCGTTACGAGGAACGTCAACGCCATGATTACGAAGCTCTCATGGGAAGAAAGAAATATTTTTAGAAGTAGAAACGTATATTTATTTCCCCTATTTACGTACGAAGTATATCACAAACAGCCCTTCAATACGATTGGATACGGGCAAAGGGTTTTTATTAATTTTCTTGTATGTCGTTTCTTTCCTTTCAGAAGAAAGTGCACGTTTCCTTTTTCTCTTACTCCTTCGTGAATGTTACGCTGTTTTACATTGATGGTCTATCAAATGGGCACTCAGGATTCTCAAAAGCCCATTCCAGGCCTCCATCATCCCCATGATAGCCACCCTCTCTTTAGTCCACCCCTTTTCCTGTCCCGCCGCGACATGGACGCGCGACATATGTTCCTCGGTCGTGCACTTTCATCGTCAACTCGATTTTAACGAGGATTTAAAACTTTCACGCCTTCTCTCAGGCATATCTCTGAAAAACGATTGAATTAAGTAAGTAATTAACATTTTTTTATCGTTTTAAGAGGATATGAAAGAGTCAGCTTATATATATCTGAGAAGTCAAATCCTTGGTGAAAGTGTTCTCCGAATTGGGTGTACCGATTCGTTTCAAATTTTTCACGGGAATATGGAGGCACTAAAGTAAAACCTGAAATTCATAAAATTTCATTTTACATGAGAAATTGA